CGAGGGGGAGCTCCGGGCGCCGACGTCGACGTACAAGGGCGAGGGGATCGGGAATCCTCCCGATCCAGATCCAATCGAGGGGGAAAGTGGGGGGGGGAGCGAGTGGGCGATGTGGGGAAACGGCTAGGGTTTCGGGGGGGTATGGGGAGTGCGGGGGTGGCCGGCTGGGCCCTGTGGTGGCCCAGTTGGCCTGTGGTCAGCTGGGCCGAAGCCCAGGGGGTTTCTTTTCTCTTTTTTTTTGTATTGTTTTCTGTTTTCTTTTTATTTATTTTCTTTTATGTTAGTTTTATAAAATTACCACTAGTGCCTAATTTTGTATTAACCAATAAACTACTACGAGATTAATTCTTAACGCATAATAAAATAGTGTTAGCATTTTATAAATTCAATAGGCCTTTGTTTAATTGTCTTCACTATTGTTTTAATTGTTTTAGGGCCTTTAAACATTTTATCAAAGTTTGGTTGCTCCACCATAATTATCTATGCAATGTTTGGTTCACTCCGAACATTTTAGTTTTAATATTTGAAAACTTTTATTGTTTGCCTATTTTTGAATTTGAATTTGAATCGGTTTCGAACTAACTCGAGATCAGCAACTATAAACGAGGTGACGTGGCACCATTAGCAGAGGATCACTGTAGCTTAATTACCCGGGCGTCACAAGTTCCAACTGCTATGACAGTTGTACGTCTGGTTGGAGCTGCTGGGTATTTAAACCCGAGGACACACAGTCCTCACCGTATTCTCCTTGAGGTAAAGTCACACAGACCTCGCCCAATCACTCGTGGTAAGTCTTCAAGTGACTTCCAAACCTTCACAGACTTGGTCACTCGGCGACCCACAAGAGTCAGTTCCACACAGGAACAATCTCTTCAGTGATGCTCAATCACTTTGGGTTTGTAGGTGTTTGGGTTTGGGTTTTGGGTTTTCCTCATTTGATGATTTTTGCTCAAAGTCCTCGGAGGATGGGATGCTCTCAATGACAAGTGTCAGTTTCTCTCGGAGCACCCAAACAGCTAGTGGTTGTAGGGGGCAGCTATTTATAGCCTAGGGAGCAACCCGACATGATAAGACATAAATGCCCTTCAATGATATGACCATTAGGTGGGTAGATATTTTAGGACAGCTGGCGCGTAGCACAGCAACGGTCAGATTTGAGGTTCAAATTCCTCAGGGCTATCATGATCCTCACTGTGTAGGCAATCCGCACTGGCGAATTCCTTACTCCTCAGTTAGAACAAATTCCTCAGAGACCAGAAGATCTTCGTCTCTGTCACTGAAGAAATTGACTGAACTGATATGAGATTTCCAATGGCTTCACTCAAAAGGATTGGGTCGGTGTAGGATTTTGAGATGAGCATCACTTGGAAATCACTTTCCTTAGTATTACCTCGACCCCCTTTAACAGTACGGTGTTTCCTATGACTCAAGAAAGAGAAAATGAAACTACGAAAACAAAAGTCTTCATGCTTCATAGTCCTCGCATGAATATCCAAGTCTTCAAGGTCACACCAATTTCTTCACTTTCCAAATCTTCAGGAGAACCAAAGTCTTTAGCTGAAGACATACATTTTTAGGGGTCGACTTTCATCGTAAATATCAAACTCCTCATCGACTTATAGAGTCTGTGTACACTCACAAACATATTAGTCCCTTAACCTATAAGTCTTCAATACACCAAAATCACTAAGGGGCACTAGATGCACATCAAAAGCCCGCGGACCGGTCCGCGCGTCCTAATTCCCGCAAACTGGAGGCAAACCGGCTGGAGGTCTACGGGCGTCCTGACGTCCGCCGTGTAGGCCTCCGACAGTGTGGTCCCACCAGAAACCCTCGTTGTGCATTCACTGCCGCTCAAAGCGGACGCGACCGGATGATCGCCTACTTGCATTCATGCCGGTCAGACGGTCGTGACCGGACGGCTGACCGACGCCGCTTCATGTGAACGCGGCGACCGAGAAGCCTAATCCGGCTGTTGCGCCCGCATTGAAGAGGTGTCGGTCCGCCTGGTCCGACTATTTAAGTAGGCCGACCTCACCGACAAACCCCATCTCTGCTCGATGCACCGCAGCCTATCCTTCCATCTTGTCCGCACACCGCAGAGATGGGCAAGTGCGGCTCCGGGTGGTTCTCGGCGCCGGCAGGTGGATACCCGGGGTCTACCGGATCGTGGTGCCGTCGCCCACAATCTCCGGGTCTGTCGGCATCCACCACTCCGTTGGCGCCCACGGTCAAGGAGGAGGTGGTGTTCTCCGACGACGATGAGGAGCAGCAGCAGTTGCGCCTCCTCGCCGAAGCGGGCGGATGGACGAAGAGTATGCGCAGCGATCGAGCTGTTGCTCCAGTGGTCGGTCCTTGACCGCTCTCCGGCACCGCCCTCGCCGCTGCACCACCACTTCAAAGAGGTGCCGTCCTCCCGGCCACGCCACCGCGTCAAGGAAGAGCCGGTGCCCCCGCCTCTACGCAGTGTCAAGCTGGAGGCGCCCTCCCTGCAGCGCATCCAGTACGGGTGGCTCGTCCAGCCATCATTGCCGCCGTGCCGCTTAGGGCGCGACAAGGAGATGGCCCCGCCATCCCCACCCCGGTGGCGCGTGGCCACCGTGAAGGAGACACCCGCCCCGCCGATTGCCAATGCGCGCGACCACCTCCTTTACTACCTCGGATTTGGCGGCGGCATCTCCTCCTCGCGCACTGGATGGTGGCCGGCAAGGACAAGCGGCGCAATGTGGTGCGCCGTTTGGCCTTTGCGAAGTCGAACGTGGTGCCGGGTGCGGGCCGACCCGGACCTCATGTTGGCCTGGGCCGAGGATCGGTCCAGGACCACCGCGCAAACGTCCTCCCACCGCCGGTGCCGGATCAGCGAGCAGCTCTGCAAGATAGGGCTGGCCGAGTCCGAGCGCGCCGCCCATGTCCCCGCCAGCAAGGGCAAAGGCGGCATGGGCCCTTTTCTCTATTCAAATCCCAGGAAGCCAAGACCAATTTCAACACAGTTTGTAGGCAAAACAGCACTAGAAACTCTGAAACACAAACGGCCAGAACGCCTAAGCTTAACCTAGCTAGCTAAGAACACATTAATAACCTCGAATACAGGTCAACTATTATGGTTTTTGGTTTATCACTATCTTTTTTTCCTAGAATCATCAACACAAGAGCTCATAACATAAAAATAAAACAAAAACTCGACCAGCAGGCACTAGTCCCAGTGGCTGAAACACAAACGGTCAGAACGCCTGAGCTTAACCATAGCTAAGAACAACTTACCTCAATAACCTAGAACAAAGATCAACTATTGTGGTTGTCAGTTTATCACTGTCCTTTTTTACCAGAATTATCAACATGAGAGCTCATAATATAAAATAAAACAAAAACTCGACCAACAGGCACTAGCACCCGTGGCATTTCTCTTAGAAGAACAGCCAAGCACCATCAACAGGAGAGTTCATATACTCATATAAGAGCTCTATGAGACAATAATTTGCTGATACTATAGACAGGTATATGATAATTGAAAATCTGTCTACATCAATTACAGGATGAATTGTCTCCATCACATAATGCGAAACAATATATTGGTGTGCAACAACTTGGATGCTCACTATCTGGACGTTGTGTAGTGAAGTCAGCTTATGTGGCACACACTAAGGCAGGAGAAGCAAAAAAGATAAGTAGACCACTCGATAGTGCTAGACCACTGACACACACATAACAGGTTAAAATATGAATAATGTAAGCGTCAGAATTTCTTGACCAACACATAAAGCTATTAGTACATAGATTAAGAAACACAGGATAACTATTTATCAAAAAAATGATATTCAGGAGTAACCTTAATTCTGAGTTAACTAATAAATTAATGATTACCTATGTGACAGCATCGAAGAATTTTAGTAGTCAGTCTGTAGGACGACAAATCATCCCCAACTTTCTCAGCAATCCTGCCATGGAAAGGTTATTAGCCCATGCAGAACCAACATAAGCCTCTATATATTGGTTTCCGATCTTCCCTCTCATTTGCAGTTTGTATCAGCAACTGTTGTCGCATCCACCATAACTTATCAGATATGACATTGTTTCCAACAAAGTGCAGGGTGGTGTCACCCCTGCTAATTCAACAAAGAGGGGATATAGTTAGATGGAGCTTCATGTACTTTTTGTATTCTATGTATATGAATAAATAAATAAAATTATTAGATTTACTCAATACTTAGCTTATCAGAAAGGATGCCTGCAGAGTTCCAAGTGCTGTAGCTTACTTTCTGTAGACATTCATGAAAACTGGAAAGTACAGCAAAACATTTCCCTAAGTTTGTAATCAAATTTAAGGGCTTCCTGTAGGTGTTGGCTGAGGCTTGTACGGCACAACGTCTCTATCATAATTTTTTTGAAAATCATTATGTAGAAAGAACCAGTCACTTGTTAGCACCACCTAATTAGGGGTCAGCTAAAGTTTCTTGAACCACATGAAAGGGTGCTTGTCCTCTCACACACAAAAAAGAAATGCCTGTCCTCTCACACACAAAAAAGAAGTGCTTGTCCCCAGTATGGATTTATGTCTGGTAGCTAATTTTCAGTTGTATATGCTCCCTATTTCGATTTAGATGAGTGGGTAAACCAGCATATTCTAAGGTTGTTTTACTATAGCGACCGCAACTCAGAAATCAGAATTCATATTCTCAGCATACGAGCTAGAATACCTTGACATCAAGGTAAATTCTTGATTGTGAAAATGCAGACCGAAGCATAGAACAAGGGACACGAAGAATAGTCTCAGATCGTCGATGTCACGCAAGCACACACTTGTAACATGCATGAGGGTCATATACTTACACGAACAAAAGAGGAATTTCAAACAATTACACTGCTCTCATATATACTGACAAGTACGCATCCACTCATTGATATGTAAAATATATACACACAATTGTAGTTACAAATCAATCACTATCACACAAGAAAAATGCAGTCACACGCAATACAACGCCTTTTACCTGGCTGAAAACTGTGAAATAGAGACAGTGGCCCTGGATGCAGAGGATGAACTTGAGGAGGATGTTTCACCTCGCACTCTACTTGTTGAATCAATAAATGTGGGCCTTGTGGGCTGTAATTCTGAAGAATTTCTTGACAACAACAACACAACCACCTCTGACATCGTTGGCCTTGAAGCAACCACTGATTGAGTGCACAGAAGTGCTATCTCTATTATTTTCTTTACCTCTTCTGGCTTGTATTCTTCACGATCCAACGATTCGTCCACCAAGCTAATCAAGTTCTCATTTTCATATAACTTCCATGCCTGCACAATCGACAGGCATAAGAAAATATCTAATTGACTATCTCAAGATAGCATAGTGTGTGTACATAATGAAACCTCAATATAATAAGTACACAATGATCATATGAACCATTAAAGCCTTTTTCTCAGATAAACATGGAATTCTCAAGTATAATCCTGATCTTTATGAAGATTTTCTGGAGAAGCATAAACACTAGGCAATGCTTACTTAGAAAGAATTTTATCAATTACTGTGCTTGTTAAATCAGCAGTGCATAGAGTGAGAAAACCAGCCCAGGAATTCACAGCACAAAATTAGTTAGTGGAACAAAAAATAAATATACCCACAAGGACATATCAAAGACTTGTGTAAGTGGCTATGTGAAACATGCAAGTCATATGCGGTAATTTACAGCACCAAGAAAAGCCAAGTTTTCAGAAGAAAGATGGATACCGATTCAAGTAGGTACTGTGTTTCAGGCTCCAGCTTTGTATCATTGCTCTTCCGACCACTTATTATTTCTACGCCAAAGCTGTATGTGTCAACCTTCTCTGATAGTTGGCCATGGATTGCGTACTCAGGAGCAGTGTAACCCCTGTTCAATAGTAAAATATAATCATCAGAAAAATAAGCTAGATGTCCAATGTAATATTTGAATGTTCAAACTTACAGTGTTCCTGCAAATTTAGTGCTGAGATGGCTATGATCATCAGGTAGGAGCCTTGCCAAACCAAAATCAGCAATCTTAGGCTGAAAGTCATCATCAAGAAGAACATTGCTAGATTTAATATCACGGTGTATGATACACACATGGAACTCTTCATGAAGATACGCAAGGCCACGAGCCATGCCAACAATGATGTTAAATCGTTGCTTCCAGTTAAGTGTTCCACGTCTCTCACCTGTTATACCAGAATGTGTGAATGTGAGGTCATTATTTAAGAGGTGCAAGTCAGCACTGTCACAAGCTAATCAACTCGGTTTGCAAGATAAACAGAGTAATTGCCTTCCCAAAAACTTAAACAACGAATATCAGACACACCATATAGGATATTTTCCCACATGTCAAGTAGATGAAGAAGCAAGGATCAAAGGAGCATACCGAAGAGGAACTTGTCAAGGCTATTGTTCGCCATATATTCATAAACAAGCAGGCATTCGGAACCCTTGCGAGAACAACCAAGAAGCCTTACAAGATTTCGGTGATGAACATTGCTAATCAACTTCACCTCACTTTCAAAATCTGCTTTGGCCCTGCTGGTTTGCATTACTGTCAATCTTTTTACTGCAACAGTTTTCCCATTTTTCAGCAAACCCTGTTAGAAAGACAATTTTGAATTATCATTTTGCAATGAACTAATAAAGTACTGCAAAAGGCAACTTGGTGATCAGTGATCAGAATATTCTTATTCTGTTTTTCCATTGTGTAGCATTGCCTTTTGTCTGCAAGTCTTCACGAGTGGATTAAACATTTGAAGATCACTATACCTTAAATACATCTCCAAAACCACCTTCTCCAAGTTTATTTTTCTCACTGAAATTATTGGTTGCAACCTTAAGATCATGATAGTAAAAACTGGTTGGACCTTGTAGTTCCGTTGCTCCAAGTATATCACCTAAAAGAACATACCGGCATATGAGGAAACACAGAAGCAAACAAAGATTATTTGATTATTCTTTTCCAATTAACTTTCCAGAAACAAATTAGTGCGCAAAATACGGCAACTTAAAAAAAATATAGATAATAACACTTGCAAATGTCAAACAAATGTAAATGTTCATGGCTAAACTCCAATAAATTTAATAAATTATGCCCTTGTAAAATTAGGCAATTCCTGGAGTTTCCATAACCTGGTTGTTGTGAATAATGCCTGGACAAACAGAACCTGTCCCTACCAATCAACACTTTATATTTACTTGAATAGTGCTACACAAATAACAGAAAAATGAGACAATATCAAGAGAAAAGGAGAACAGAACACATACAAAATTAAAGGTCTGCAACATAACTAGAAATTATGGGATAGGTACAAAGGTGCGGCCTGGAACCCAGAGCACATGCTCCTGGCTAGAAAATAGTTTCCGAATGTAAAATATTCTGAAATATGTACGTTCTCTGGTCACTTTATACTTGTAAATTCTAAATATACGATCAAATTTGTCTTGGACAAAAGAGACAAATGGTTGTAGTCACTGTTCAAACAATAAGTTGAACACTATCCTTTTGTGAGGGTAGATTTCATTATATTTTTGCATGAATTTTGCAGGTGCTCATTTTATAACATGGTGCACATCTGTAAACATTTTGAGGTCACTTGAAGATGCACAAGTAGGCAAAAACCCTAAACTCAAGCACATACCCTTGCATGTACGGAATCCACTTTATTTTTAATATCACTAAATCTGTCTTTGTTCCATGGTGCAAAAATGGTCGCTTTTATGAAAATTTACAGGCATATAAAGGAGCCTAACATTTGAATTTATATTTTTCCAAAATTCTTTTATATTCTGAAATGCTTTTTCTAGAGTATACAACAAATTCTAAATACAGTTTTCAAATTTATCGTTCACTGCAGGAGGACGTGCCACCAAAACATTTTTGTTCCTTTAGACATTATGATACAACAGAGAGGAAATCAAAGTATGTGGGGCACGACTATGAAAACATGTCTACTTCTGCCTTTGGAAAAAATGCAAAACATGTCTACTTCTGCCTTTGGAAAAAATGCAACGTCAATCTTTATATCCAGGGAATTCCGTAGGATGTAAGTTATCAACTGCGATTAGTTACATACCTGCCTTAGTAATCAAAGGCAGTCTAGTTATATGCCTGCCTTAATAATCAAAGGCAGTCTAACTATATTGGAAAATGAAAGTGATTCGGATAGCACTGAAAATCTTGTGTATCATGCCGGCATCAATAGATGATTGATGACCATTGGTGACAGCTACACACTGCATGTCATCATCCTCACAGGACAATAGTGGCATGACATTGCAGATGTTCTCATGAAAGGCAACACAGAATTTACAAAATCACTTGACTACCCAAGAGACGGTTCCATGATAAATGACAGCAACTTTGACCATGTTACTAAGATGAGACTGAAAACTTGACAAGCACCAAAGAGCTTTAACTTCACAAAAACAGCATTTACCTCTCCGAGGCTTCTGCAGCTTCCTAGAACGACGGATCCACAACAAAGCTAGTAACCCTAGAAGCAACAGGAAGGCTACACCTCCCAAAATTCCTCCTATGATGGCTCCCTTCCCTCTTGATTTTCCTGAACCAAATCATGAATTGTGAGATCTGAACTGAAGACAACCTTTGAATTGGAACCTTTTTCTTTATTTTTATTTTTTTGTAAAATTATACAGCAATCAAATTATCATTAAAGTTCAAGCCAACCCGTCCACTGGAGCAAATAAACATGCCTTTACATTAATGACAAAAATAGAGAACTTCAAAGTTCAAACTCACCATAAACATTGGATTCCAAATGTACCAAAATATGACCTGGAGGATCTAAAGCTGAGGTTTTAACTTATTTTTTTCATGCATCACATAATTAATTCTCCATGAAGTCCTCATTTGCTGCTTCTACACACACCCTATACCAAAAGTTTTGCACATAATCTGGCCAATCGATGCATCAAATGTTTCTAATTTTTTCCCTAGATTCAAACCTCCCTGGAACAGAAGCATTATAATTGTTATCGATAACTGTTCTGGTAATCATAACTATTTTTAAGAGTTATAGTTCCATTTGTTACCCCCTAAGTTTCACGTTTGCAACAGCAAATACCCCATTTAGCAGATTTTTCACATTTTTACCCCATTTAAGCAAACCTGTCAGAACGTTGAAAAAATGAATAAAAGGGATAAAATGTGGCACAAGTCTGCTTAAATGGGGTAAAAATGTGAAAAATCTGTTAAACTGGGTAATTGCTGCCACAAATGTGAAACTTAGGGGTAAAAAGTGAAACAAACTCTATTTCTAATTTGCAACGTAGGACTAATAACTTCGGAAAAGATAGGACAATTTTAAGGGAGTACCTAGAACTCATCTAGATGAGATATAATTTGGTCTCATTCACTTTGAAAACAAGAATAGATACAGCCACGTCAGCACACACGCATCTTATAGCATCACATCCAATGGCTATAAAAGGTGAATGAGACCAAATTATATCTCATCTAGATGAGTTCTAGCAAAACTGCAATTTTAAACAAGGATATGCTGCAGCAATGAGACTTTGGGAACTCGCCGATAAAAATCTATGCCGGTCGTGCCAGCAACAAACGTGGACAGCGAGCCAAAGATGGCCTCGGTACAACACAAAACTATATATAAAAGAAAACATCTCGAAGCTAGTATGTTAACAACTCACGCAAAACACGAGGATGAACTCACCAGAGCGCAAGTATGCCGCCAGGTCTACCGTGGCATTAGCTGGGAAGAACCGCTTATCAGAGTACCTCATGAAGCATCCGGCGCGTACACGCCGGCGCCCGCGGCGGCCGCGGCAAGCCTCGGGGCGCGCGGCACCGCGGCCGCGAGGTCGCCGATCAGCGCTCGCACCGCGCCGTCGAAGCCGCCGCCTGCCACGGCGGAGCCATTGCAGAGCTGCGTGTTGCCGGGGAGCGTGGACTGGTCGAAGAAAGCCGCGCTCTCGTACCGTATGACGCAGCCGTCGAGGATGGCGCGCCCGCCGTTGGCGGCACCGCAGGAGGCGCGGATGCGCGCCGCGGCGGCGTCGAAGCAGGCGACGCAGTCCCTCCCGGTGACGTACGGGCGGCACTGCGCCAGCGCGAACGCCGGCGCGGCGGCGCGCGGCTCCGACGCCGTGGCGAAGCCGCCGGCGGAGAGGTTGGCGCGGAGTTGGGCGAAGGTGGAATTGAGGGCGACGAGGAAGGCGGCCGTGGGCGTGGCGTTGTACTGGCTGCACCCCAGGTTGAGCAGCGTGGCCTGCGGGTCGGCGACGACGGACGGGGCCAGCGCGGAGGCGAGTGCCAGCACTAGAGCCGGCAACAGCGGGAGGCGAGCCATGCGGTGCATCGGCACCACCGGCTGGCGGAGGGAAGGCGGAGGAGATATCGCCGTGGCCGCTGGGTTTTGGACGAGAGCGGCGCGGCAAGGGTTGTGTGATGGGGATGGATTGATTTGTGTTGAATGGCCAAGTCGGGAAGTGTGGAACAGCTGATTGGTTCGAGGTGGTATAAATATTGGGATGTGGGATGATCCTCTGTCACGTCCAGCTTCGCTTTAATAATTTATTTTCAAGAAGCAATCTCACTCTCTCTTGCATTGCATGTCGCCTGAATGCCTTTGTTTAATCAGTACTACTTGAAACAGTTGAGGGTGTTCGGTGGCGTGTGTTGACGATCGGCTATTCTGTGATTGCTGGGCACTAGTTTGGTTCCTTGCTAAAAATTTGACCGTCTATGCGAACTTACTCCAAGATTATTGGGGAAGCAGAGGGGTGCAACGATTGTAGTGTGAAAAGAGTAGGAGTGATTTGGGAGCAACTAACCAGCGGGTGGCCCTACTCATTTTCCCAACCTTAGGCGACACCAAAGGTCTTCTCCATGGTGCCGTCTCGGTCCCCTCCTTTCCCCCGTCTCGCGGCCTCGTTGGCAGAAAAAGAGCGGGGCCCACTCATTTCTTTTTTTTTCCTTGGGTTTTATTTCCTTGACGACACTGACAAGACGGTGGCGGTTATGACAGAGGTGGCGGTGGCGACGGCGTGTTGGAATAAGGTCTCTTCAGTCTCTCTCTACCTCAACGGCGTCTGACTCGACGCTGACAAGCGGCGTATGAGAGTTTGTGTCCCCAAATTGTTGGCTCTCTTCAGATCAAGATCTTGGTAGTTTGTTCGTCTATAAATGAGAGCAATTGGCTGGCTATTAGTGTCGTGGCTTTGACATCTTTTTGTATCGTTCTGTGGCATGTTCCGGTTTCTCAATTCTATAGTGTGGTTGAGTCGATGATGACCTACGGCGAGGTCTGAGTCATTTGCTTGGTGTTTAGGGATGGTGATGATGCCTCTAGGGGAGGAGTGATGATGATGACACATGTGTGTTGTCTCGGCGAGGCCATCTTTGGAGTGGTGTGAAGCGGTATCTTATGTGTGCCGCTCAACGGTTGTGATGATTTTTCGCACGGTTTTCCATTATTAATTGGGCAATCTTGTTTCCCCTCGGTTTTCCCAAATTAATCGAGCAACTCTTTTCTTCTTACTGAATGTAGGAGTCCTGCCATTTCGAAGAAAAACTATCTGAAGTGGTGGCGATGGATTGCAAGTCTGTATTGTGTGGGGCGATGCTCTAATTGATGATTCTTAGCATGTTATAAATCTCATTTCAAGGTCCAAGATGATATGCAGTCTTAAAAGTCTTGCTTCACTGCAATTTTTAATCTTCGACGGACGCCGCACAATTGGAGGAAGAAGTTTCGATGTAATTTTATTTTTCTCTAGAACTCGCCTAAGTTTAAAAAATCTTACCGAGTGATGAGCAATCCTCCCACTCGAAGGTTATGCAAAGTGCAGGTTGACCACGACCAGCACTTCAGAGTTGTACCATCAAGAAGAAGGACGAGATTGAGCGTGTCGCTAGGGCGAGTCACTTTCAGGAACGTCAAGACCATTGCTGAATTTCTCGCCGATGAGTTGACCGGTCCCGCCGAATGAGTCGGGTCGACTGCGACCCCCCCCCCCCAGGGCTGCACCATCAAGAAGAAGGACGAGATTGTGCGCACTGTCAAAGGCCCCTCCAATGGTTGACAGGAATGTCAAGACCATTGCTGAGTGCCTTGCTGATGAGCTGATCAATGCTGCTCAAAGATCGTCCAATCGGTCGACTGTTGATTCTTCTTCAGAAGCCGCATCAAGCAAACAGACACCAATCCGAGAGAAAAACGAATTTCGCTCAAAGACAAACGCAATATATTCGAAGATAAATCCAAAGATTCCTAACCGCAGAATAAAGTGCTCGGGCATCAGGCCCGAAGGAATTTTAACGGTTACAAAATCATCGGCATTCCGAGGCAAATAAAGGTGAAGCATAATGTTTTTTCAATCACTCGGCGGGAGAAGGACTGACCGGATTGCAGAAGCTATCGAGGTCGATGCTGTCGGCGATGCGAGTGGCTGCCTCAAGGAAGGTGTTCATGAAGGTCTGGAAGGAGTGCTTCTTAGTATTCGCTACCTTGAGAGCAGCCAGCTTGTCTTCCTTATCCTCCTTGCAGTGCACTCAGACCAACGATAAGGCGACGTCGGCACCACAGCGAGCAGAAGATTTCTTCCACTCTTGCACTCGGCCTGGAATCTGATTAAGTCGAGTCATCAGTGACTCGAGGTCTTGAGACAGCTCCGCCTGAGGCCAAAGTTCAGTGTCCACTTGGGTCATCGCCGCCTTCAGTCGAGCCATATAAGCAACTGTCCATCCAAGCGCGACTCCAATCGCAGCAGATTCATTGCAACGTCATCTTTCACAGGACAATTGATGGGGTCGAGACCCGTCTCGACCCGCCCAGTTTCAGCTTCAAAGTCCTGACACAGTTCTGTCCCATCACGAAAAACAATGAGTCGACAGCATGACAACAAAGTTTAGTCGGCGACAAATTGACTAGTCGAATGATCATACCTTCAAGCTTCAGAACAAGTTTCACACCAAGTTGTTTCAGATAAGACTCCAGCTTGTCTGTCTTGGCTCTGAGGCCACCGACTTCTGTGGTCAGGTTCTCCTTGTCCTTCCTCGGCTGCTCAACTTCCTGATTAGCTTCAGAGATGGTGGCCTTCAACTTCGTGTTCTCCTCCTCCAATTTGCCGACTGAAGCCAGCTTTTGGTCCGCAAGCTTCGTCTTCTCACGTGCTTCCTTCTGAGCAGCGGCAAGGTCCAGGTCCTTCTTCTCCAAAGCCTCCTTCATCCTCTCTAAAGAAACAACACTCTTCAGACGAGACTAAAGTTGGCGATTTTCACTATGCACATCTGCTTGTGTGAAATCACTCAGTTCAAAGAGACTGAAAGAAAAACCAGTGAGAAGTGCGAGCTACAAAGCAGACAAAATGGTCGAATGATTACCTCCCATGAAGGCCGTTTCTTCTTGAGCAGTCTTGAGATTCTTCTTCGCGAGTTCAAGGTCAAGTTCAACGCTGATATGCTTCTTCTTTAATTCGGTGAGCCAAGCTCGAAGATCACAAGACCTCTGCAGCCAGCAAGAGAGACATGTCAGTCGACAGAAATAAGAGACAGTGACGGAGAAAAATTACTCTAAGACTACTGCCGAATCAAATAATCAACAGTAGTCTCAGGGACTACACCCAGTGGGTGCACTTAGCGTGCCCCAACTGGATCAGATCAATACTCAGGAAGGCCTGGCCAGCGTGAGTTCAAAAAAAAGATACATCATTAGACCTCAGTCGACTGCCAGCAGTCGACCGTGGTCTCGGGGACTACACCCAGTGGGTGCACTCGGCGTGCCCCCACTGATTCGAACAGTTTATTGGGACTCAGCTCGAGGCGAGCGGAGTTGAAGATTTCCTTAATTCTAAACGAAGGAACACCCCAATGGGTGATCAGATATAAAGCAACACTCAAAAGTTCAGTCGGAATTTTGCTGACCTGAACATTGGTCTGAAGGGTAGTGCTGGCGTTGTAGGCTACCTGGCTAGCCTCATGCATCACTTTCACCTGCTCCATGACAAGGTTCACCTGACGAAGAGCTTCCCTAGCAGCGCCCGGCGAGTCGTCTAGAGTTTGATACGTAGCAAAGAGTAATGGCTCTAGGGTGGTCGAAGCAGTTACCGGGTCGGACGAGTGGAGTTGCACTAGTGCAGCAGGTGTCTATGCAGTCGATCCCGACGGACGATCAGTCGTTAGCGGGTTGGCGAATGTGACGTTGGTCCAAACCGGCCCTTCGGAACGTTCGATCACCGCCTCAAGCGCCGGTGTCGGCTGAGGGACTTGGATTTCAAGCCTCCTCCTGCTTGAGCCTCCACTCTTCTTCCTCCTCTCCTGTAGAGGCGCTTCTTCTTCTTCTTTGTCAGGGAGCACAACAATCTCTTGTGGGGCTACAGAAAGAGAGAAGTATCAAATTTTTAGCTGATTGACCACCCACTCGACTAAATGGAGCTTGGTCGACGAACTTACCAGCTCGGGAGGTGGCCTCCTCGTCTCCTAGTGACTTATCAACATCCATGTCAGTAGCAGCAGAGGTGGGTCTGGAAAGATGCGCAACCCGGTCGGTCAGAACAGAAATGTCAGTCGGTATGCATAAGCACAAGTGTGTTACTCACCCCGAAGCCACTGGGACGTCCATCTTGATCCGCGACAAAGTCTTCCGAGTCTTGGGAGGGGCAACTTTGAGCTGCTTGGCGGTCTTCTCTGTCGGTTCTGGAGTCGACGTCCGAGTGCGCTTCTGAGCGTGAGTACTCAGAGCCACGCTCTTCCCGCGCCCGCCCGCCGGGTCGTGTTGCTACGT